ATTTACATCGTATAACTTATTTCAGTCTTTCTTTCCTACAAACAGTTATGCTTCATTGTTTATAGTGTTTTCAAGTTAGTGTTATGATTGAATTATTACCGATCACAAAAACTGCAGTAAAACGGATTACCTTTCACCGAAAAAAAAAGAAAGAATTGCAAACTTCCATTCACTTTTAAACGGTTAGAGTAGATAACCTCGTTTCTGGACATGTAGAATGAGAGGATGAAATCGGTTAACAATTGATAAAAGTTTTCAGGAACTCAATGAAGGTTTCAATTATCCACTGTCGGTGTTGAAATTACAATCTCTCAGAAGAATAATTGCAGATTAGCTATAATTTAACCTTGGATAGATTGAGTGCAGTTCATAGTGGGATATAAAACGATTTTCGTTCCATTTTGGACTAGTTACTTGAAGTATTTAATTACATCCATATAAATGTTCTCACGAAAACTTGAATCAGACAACCGAAGTTTCAAACGTCATTGTTAACTATTCCGATCTAAATTTTTAGTCTGTTTTAATTGATGATTTAAAAGACCTGAGAAATTAGTCTCTCTTAACTCATGGGATAACTTAAAAGAATAGGAAAACATCGAATATCATACACTGAAACTAAATAGTCAGTAATTTAATTTACTAACGATAAATCGCCCCCTAGGCATAGATTGTTGTTGATAAAACATCACGATATTATCTTCAATAAAGCTCTGAAATGAAGCCCAGTGAACATTACTTTCGCCAGTAGTCGTAAATATTGATGGACTCACTTTATTTTCCATTGCTTACTCTCTAGAGTAATGAATGTTATTATCATTATTTAACATTTTTCCTTTGGGTTCCTAGTGGAACATAGGGCTTCAGTAGCACACCTCCATCCCACTCTCTTCTCTGCAGTATTTTGAACCTAGCGACACGAATACCAACAAGATTTCATTTCTTCCTCACATGATCTCTTCCATGTCACCTTCGCATCAGACGCCCAACTCGTCGTTTCTTCTTTGGATTCCACTCGACGGCCTGGACTGGACTGACGCGTGTATCTCCAATCCAATCCATCTCCACTTTCTTCTGCTTATTTGTTGGGTGATAGGTTTTTACTTCGTTGGTTCGTTCCCATAGTTCCTTGTCGTTTATTCTTTCTGGCCATCTGATTTTAGTATTGAGCCAACGTAGACAGCTGTCCATGAATGTCTGTAGTTTGTTAGAAGTGCTTTTCGTAAGGTGCCATATCTCTCAACCATCACATAGAGGCACTGACTTCAGATTGGTGTCAAAAATCTGGATGTCGTTCACGCTTTGTGCTGAGTGCAGTAGATCTCCACACTGATCGTTTCAGATTAATGAAGGCCTGTCTTGCTTTTCCTATCCTGGTTTTGACATCCTCGTCTGTGCCGCCTGTAGTTGAAACGATGCTGCCTTACCTCCTCACAGTTTGCTGCATGATCCAGTCGACCACAATGAGGAAGATCATAAGTGATAGTAGGCGGCAGCTTTGTCTTACTCCTGTCTTGAATTCCGTTGTGAATCACTTGGCATGTGGAGTTTTCATGTAGCTGTTGAATGATGTTGATAAAGTTTTGTGGCCCTCCGAAGCAACTGCCAAATTACTTCTCGATCGACGCCGTCGAAGGCCTTTTCAAAATCTGTTATATGATGATGCGTAGCGTAGCGTTGCAATTTGATCCTCACATGATTTGTTATTCCTGAAGTCAGCCAGCCTGTTCCGGTCGTAATTTCGAATGCAGAACAGTTTTTAGTCTGTCCAGGTAGACGCTGCATAACATTTTGCTTCGGGTAGACAGCAGCATGATTCCGTGTCAGTTCTTCTTCTTGTATAGACTCAGGTCTCTCTTCTTTGGGAGTTTGACAAGATCGCCCTTCTTCCAATCATTGGGCAGGTACCTTTCTTTCCTTCCTTCCAAACCTTCTGCAGTAGTTGTGTGAGCATGTCCGCTGTTGTCTCCGCATGTTTTCAGTGCTTCCGGTGGAATTCCATGTGGTCCTGCTGCTTTCCCGAATTTCAGTAACTTTACGGCATTCAGAACTTCGATTTTTGTTGGATGGCCTGTGTTATCTGGTAATTCCGTGGCTAGGCTGGTGGTGGTATTTCTGGACGAAATGCAGGTGGTGGTCGATTCAAGAGCTTTTTGAAGTGGTCAGCCCATTGTTTCCTTTGTTTCTCCTCTTTGGTAACTAGGTTTCCTTCACTATCGCTCATTGGTTTCGTCTACCTTGATCTCTTCCCGGATACTAACCTGGTTATTTGACATAATGTTGTTGCGTCTTTCCTAACAGCAGCCTGTACTGAATGTTATGAAATTATATTTTAAGAATGAAATCAATTTTTACTCTGACAGTTATAATGGATACATTACTTTCTTGCTGTTCAACGATAAGAATGTCCTATACATTCTTCTCCTTTCAAATGAGTACGTTTGTCATACATTTATAGTGTGATGAGTTAAAAATGGAGTATTCCATACTTTCATTACGGCAGTGTTTGGTAGAGAAACACAATAGTTTTCATGGAGAACGTATCGACTCAGTAACAGAGTCCAGTTTTGAATCACCATCAGTTACAGACAAAATAAATGGTCAAGTTTAAATACTTTTTGGTAAATGGGTCTATGAGACCTGAAAGAAGCCATCAACTTCTTATCTGACTTCATTTTATGTTAGGATCAGTCAGATAAAAAACGTTTAAATGATTAGAAAACATATCAGACTGATAATGTTCACTATCTTTACAATTTATAGATGAAACAGTGGGTCATAGTTCCTACTTCAGTCAGTTCACGATATAGCGTGACCTACATCCAATGTTGACGTTGAGTAGTTATCTTCATATTCGACTTAGTTGACTCTACTGGTCACGTGAACTGACAGAAGTAGGAAATTTGGACCATTGGATCGCGGTCTAGTGCCTCAGTGATAACATGTTGGCCACAGGACCTGAGGGCCGTATGTTCGATCGCTGGTGGAGTTGTGGGTGCGCATTGCCTTGAAGTCCCACACTAGGGCGGAACAATTGTCCAGCGCCCCCAGGTTCTCAATGTTCCTCCGACTGGTGTCATTCCACGATGAATTACAACCTAAAAATGACGGGTTTATTTATCCGAAATAATATTAGTGGCAGCAACATTCATCAGCTATCTGAAATTTATGGTGAAACATACCTGTCATATGTCTGAGGTGTTGACTATACAAACAAAGATTCTTTGATCAATCACTTTCTTTATCTCGCTATAGCAGTTCTTAGAAAAGTTACCCTATCCCACCAGTTCTGCAGTGTGGTTATAGTTCAGTGCATGAAGAGCGACAACCGAGTTTTTCTCTGAATTAATGCCACAGCTATCGCTGGTATTACTAATCTTTATCTCATTAGTCCTTACAAACTTTAAAATAAACTCCACAGGGTAGTTACTAAGTAGTAGTGTCACCTTCATATGTTTCATTTCCTTATTCAGGTTTTCTAATTTACTACTCAAACTCCCAGCCCGGTTACTTACAGATTTTTTTGAAATCTACCTTGACAGATATGGTGTGAAATAATGTGAAATCCAAATATTTATTCGAATGTGTTGGTTTCATATCAACATTGATTGGTTGTAGTCTCACCAACTCAATAATCAAGAGAAAAATTCGTTCATGAGTGCGACTAAAAGTTATCCCGAGGTGTTACAGCATTCTGTCTGAAGTGAAAATTCCAATCATAAATCCTTTAGGTTGTAATCTGAAACCTCAACTAATGCACTGTAATCTGTTAGTATTATTCATTCTGAATTACCGTACTTACTTTCCGCCTAAAAACGTGAAAGTGTAGCATACACTTTGCAATTGAATAAACAGTTTGAAACAGTATTCAATGACAGATGGGATTGTAAAAACTATGCGAATAGATGAAATATTTATGAAGAACACAGAAACTGTTCGAATTTTCACAAACAATCTTACAACGTATGACGAGGAAGATTAAACCTTAAGATGCTTTTTAGCCTCACTCTTCGTCCAAAGTAAAGTAGTTCAGAATTTTTAATTCGAATAAATCATTCTGCATTTCCAATAAACTACAGATATTCATGGACAGCTGTCTACGTTGGCTCAATACTAAAATCAGATGGCCAGAAAGAATTAACGACAAGGAACTATGGGAACGAACCAACGAAGTAAAAACCTATCACCCAACAAATAAGCAGAAGAAAGTGGAGATGGATTGGATTGGAGATACACGCGTCAGTCCAGTCCAGGCCGTCGAGTGGAATCCAAAGAAGAAACGACGAGTTGGGCGTCTGATGCGAAGGTGACATGGAAGAGATCATGTGAGGAAGAAATGAAATCTTGTTGGTATTCGTGTCGCTAGGTTCAAAATACTGCAGAGAAGAGAGTGGGATGGAGGTGTGCTACTGAAGCCCTATGTTCCGGTAGAAACCCAAGGGGAAAATGATAATTCTGCTAGAAAATAGACATGATGAACTATAAATACTTTGCTTAACTCCTTGAAGTATCCGTAGAAAGTGAATAGGGATAGGAAGTGAATTTTACTTACAATTATTTTCAAGATTTTTATTCCAGTTTAAGAAATTCAACTTTTTACAACTTCAGATAAGCAAGTTACATATGGTGAAAGATATGCTTTAGAGTACCAAATGGTCTTGAGTTTTTCGACATTAAATTCAGTCATTCAGTATCACTCACCATTCTCAGTATAAGAAGCAAACTGAATAAAGGTCATTTTCTAGTGTATACCTTTTGTCGAGTTGATGTTCGCTACAAAGTAGCACTATCTAAAGAACGACTGAATACTACAGAGTGAGATAGCTCTTTCAGTCTAATTTGGGACTCACCGGCAGTGTGATGACTGAAATATTATGTGGGTTTCACTTAAAAACAGTTGACTATAGAGACAATCACATCTTTATTCAGCCACTAGGCTAATCCTCAAGTCATTTCAGTATAGATTCGTGGATACATACTGTTTTAAAGTATCGAAATAGCACTCCATCATTTTTCATTGTTTCACTTATCAATGATAATCTATAAAAATGTCTAACTTGAAATCAATAGATTCTTCATTAGCCAATTTATTCAACAATTAGTCTTTTTATCATATATAACAATAACTGAAATGAAATAAAAATGTATTCAGCAGTCAAGCCTTATAACTTAGTTAATCGAATATAGGATAGGAAACCCGGTAGTCACTGCAGTCCAAATTTTCACTACACTTTCAATCATCACCATTTATCTATAATATCAGAGTATTTAAAGAAATTCATTATTCTAAGTACATCAGTATGAATTTTAAGAATAACTGATAAAGTTGATTAATTCGACATAGAAATAACTAAAAAAAAGTTCATTTATCACATCAATTCTATTTTAATTTGTTCTCTTTTCACAAGTTTATTTTACAATGTTATCCTATTCATAGTTAACTAGATGAATAAATATGTCAAACATGCATACATCATTTTTTATTTTATTATTTTCTAATAGTTGAAATACTCTGGTTATTTCAATTAAAGATTGATGAAAGATGAGGAAAGAAAATGAATTAAACACAGACTGTATCACTATTTAATAAGTATTCATCTATGTGTAATGCTTATACGAAATAAAAGGTTAATAATAACCTCTTGTTTATGATTACATTCAAATCTATTAAACATAAAAATACAAATGACCATAATAACAGTAAAGTTAATAGTAATTAATACTACTACTACCACTACCAATACTATTATTAGTAATAATAATAATATTTGTACTGATTCACTGTCATTGAGCTAAAGTGAAATCAATGAAAAAAACAAAGAAAGAGAATATCTCAATAGAATGAAATTATAAAAATGAGAGAAATTTTAATCACAGTACATTGAAACCTGAATAATTGTTTAAATAAACTTATTCCTATAAACTTTAAAAAATATATAAATAATTATTTAAACGAATAAGTATACTATTCATTTATACTTTAATAAAATTATCATCAATTTCTCTATATACATACTATATATATATATATTGTTTCTTGCACTAAGACAGTTTAATGGAGTAATGAAAACGTCAAAATGAACAAAACAAGATAAACCAAAGAAACAAGCAAACAATAACAAAAAAGAGAATTTCAAATCTGTTAATTGAAGATCTATTCTTTGAAAACCAATATACAGATGAATGAATTTAATCGGTACTATGATTAATACTTCATAGTTATTATTATTATTATTACTTCGCTTAATGAGATCAACTTTATAGTTAGTTTATATAAAGATATGAAAGAAAATAGTCAAACAGATGTATAATCTATTCATCTATTTATCGAAGAATTTTTAAGATGTTAAAGAGGAAATTTTATAAGTTTTCATGTAAAGAATGAATAGAACAAGTGATATCTTTTTCATACTGTCAACTCCTATCAACTTAAATAACATTCATCATATAATAAATCATGAATGACATAATCCTGTAAGCCATTCGATATACTCTAATCTGGAATGTATTTGAAATAACACCTCTAAAGTTTATAGGAATAAGATCAACACAATTATATTGGAAGAAAAAGAGAAAAGATTAATGAAAATATATAAATGAATATGTAATCTTTTCTACAATTATTACTAATAAAATATTTGATCAATATTCAATTAAATTCCATTTGAACATGATTTGTTTCACATAGTGCTTGAAATAAATCTGTTAATAGATTATGATAGTCATTTTTAGTTAAAGCAGCAATAATAACCAATTGTTCAGGTCGTCCAGTGTTGATTAAATTACCAGGATTTATATCTAGGGGATTTTCTTTTGGAAAGCTCCAAAACTCCACTCCATAATTATACACTGAGATAAAGAAGACATTAAAAAATAGGATGAATATCATGAAATGAAAGTACACATACTTAAACAGGAAACAATTTAGAAAAATGTTACTTTCATCAATTGATTTGCTATTCATCATAGGTCTATGGATAATATGTATAAAGTAAAAGCTCAGAATGTTTTGTAAATATGACCGGAATACTATAACGCTCTAGCATTTGAAGCGATCGCTGCCAAGTCCGAGTCCCGGTGGGAACAACATCACTCACTGAGAGGCACGTACATCCAGCTGACGAGTCGCAAATACGATGAAATGCGTATCCTGGATTCCACTGCTAGTCACAGCCCATCATTACTATACATAGTTAAAAAGACAGGCAATATCGAGACATCCGCATAGAAGCCCATATGCCAACAGAGACTGATCAATTCGGTTGAATCAACGACGGTGTAATACAAGCAATAACACTATATGGTCTCCTTTCTCTATATATGATAAGTCAACACTATTTTTATTATACTGGGTGATGATTGAAGGTAGGGTGAAAATTTGGAACACAACCGAATTCAAACCAATGACCAGCAGTCAAACCTTTTAGCTCAGTTGGTAGACCATTGGGTCGGAAATATGGTGGTCGCCGATTGCAATCTGGCCGCAGTTTAAATTTTCATTTCACCTTCAATCATCACTCAGTAACAATACTAGTCTGCCAAACCACAGCTATACTCAGATAGTCAAAATGATTACTAATTTATAATACATATTTCTCCTAATCCACTTCAAGATATCAACCACAAGAAAGTTTAGCAGAACAATATGGTATTTTTCATTGTTATTCAATAAGTAGTTCCTAAAAGACAACGGTTATCCCTAGAGATTAATTAACGAATATCAATAAACTTCGAGTAAAATTCTTTAGAAGAACTTATACTCAGCAGACACAAACAGTGTTCATACACCTTGACTTAAAAGCAGATGATACTAGTACGACAACACAACATAAATGACAACTAGTTCTGGTATCAATTCGGTTTCACTATACTAAACAATCTATTCACTGCTACAGTCGAGAGTCAGCATTTAACCACTCTGTGTTACTTATAAATGTTTATATAAAATTATATGAAACTATAGAACTAGGTAGATTGAAATAAACGGCAGAAATGTTTAGTTCATGCTTTTTGAACACGTTAAGATGGGCTTCCTGGCCAGAGGAAGAAACACTTCTAATCCATTATAATCGACTTTGTCATGATTGAAACATGATATAAATCGGACTCAGAAGGCTTTACCCATTTCTGTTCGTCAAAATGTACCAGTTTGACAAGGGAAAGAAAAGATATAAGGCATGAACAATGCAGTTCATTTAGTCAATTTAACCGGACCTTTCCATGTGATACATGTTGTATCTTAAAATATCCCGAAAAAGGGCATAACTATTCCTCCTATCTACAACAGACAATAAGGAAATCAACACAAACAAACCCGACTTGTGTTAAAAAGAAATGTGAGTATTCAGTTTGCCTTCAATATGGTCAACACTCATTGTGTACATTTGATACTTTCACCTCCCACTTCATTTGTTTACTTTATCAACCTCGTTCCCTTGACTAACATTTACTTCAATACGTTGTTTGCTTTATGGTGTTGTTTTATTTCTGCTAGCAGACATTATCTTTAGTCTACACATAACACTCAATATTTGTTATATCATAATTGCAATTATGTGATTTTTTTATACGCTAGTTAAATACAACTCATCACTACCTAATGGCAATTTGCTTAAATTAATGCTCTTGGTTATTCAGTACTAGGTGATATTACTGTCTTGTCTCATCATCTGCTCAATTCACGACTCCCTACTGAACATTCTTTTGCGCTCATATATACATATTTCCTACGTCTGAAACTGTAGTGAAGAGGTGATGATTCTTTTCAAATTGATTTTCGTCATGCTATAGGAGAGATATGACATACGCATATTGTTGTTTGCTTTTACAAGTGGCGATCCAGCTACAACCTTCATATTTGATTTTTGTTAGTAGTTTAGACCAAACACATACCGGCATGTGAGAGAATTTTTTCATTTACAGTCTACTCGTGTATGCACTTAATCCTGATCTTTGCTGTGACAAAAGACACTTTTATCCTCTCTTCAGAAAGTGTGCATATAAAACCTTCTACACCTCAAGACACCTAATTATTGTGTTGAAACAGATATTTCCTTGTAGTCTACTTCGTGACTAGCAGTGGAATCCAGCACGCGTGTTTCTTCCTGTGTCGATCTCAGCAGCTGGATGTACACCTAGAATCTAGTCAGCGATGTTTTCCCCACTGACGTTCAGACATAGTACTCATCGCTTCAAATCTCAAAGCGTTATCCACTAGGGCATAGGAGCACGACACCAAAGGGTACCAGATGTTGTTTATTGGTACTTTTCATTTCTCGTTCCTTTACAAGGGTAAAATTACTCAACCTCTCTTGGCATATTATTATTATTATTATTATTATTAGTCCCTTGGGTTCCTAGTGGAACATAGGGCTTCAGTAGCACGCCTCCAGTGACCTCTGTTCTCTGAGATCTTCTGAACCTGGCTCCACGACAGCCCAGAAGCTCTCATTTCCTCCTCGCACGACCTCCTCCATGTCACCCTCGACACCGACGTCCAACTCGTCGCTTCCCATGAGGATTCCACTCGAGGGCCTGACGCGTGATGTCCTCAGTCGGCCTTCTCAGTGCATGGCCAATCCATCTCCACTTCCTCCTGCATATTTGTTGCGTGATAGGTTCTTGGTTGGTTCGTCACCAGCCAGAGTTCCTTGTTGCTTATTTTTTCTGGCCATCTGATCTTCAGCAGCGAGCGTAAGCAGTTGTTGATGAATGTCTGTAGTTTATTGGAAATCCCTTTCGTGACGCGCCAAGTCTCTGAGCCATACAAGAGCACTGACTTGACGTTGGTGTTGAAAATCCGTATCTTGTTGGGCATGCTGAGTGCAGAAGATCTCCACACTGGTTTCAGGCTAATGAACGCCTGTCTTGCTTTTCCGATTCTGACTTTGACGTCCTCGTCCGTCCCGCCTGTAGTTGAAACAGTGCTTCCTAGATAAGTGAAGGAGGTTACTTCTTGGCATATGAGTCCCTATAAAGATACTGCGATACTGCTACATTTTCTCACTTCATAATCAAAATGATAACGGTAACAGGATTTCATTAATTTACTGTCATTGCAGCTTTAATGTCTGGGATTGTTAGCCTGAAAAATGTGGTTAAGTGTGTAAGCTACTTGAATGAAGTCCTCGAGATATAACGAATCAATGATTAAGGCGCCTAGAGGATAAATATGTTTGTATTATTTTTCATCTTAGAAATTTCGGAGATGTTTCAAACTTTCATTCATTCACTCACTTTCTCTTTTCTCATATCTTTTAGCCTATATATTTTTTTTAGAGATGAATAAGGATTTTAATTTCGAGATAGTATTCATCACTGACTGACATCAGTTGGGGAACCATTGGATAGTCCCATACGAAAACGAAACAGCTATCCAGTGCTCCCAGATTATAAATAGTTTCCTAACTGATATCAGTTCGTGATGAATACTATCTCTCTCTATATTTTTAACAGCACTTCACTTCTATACACTTTCTCATCCAGTGTGGTTAGGCAGTATGGTGAATTAAAAGTGATACAATTCTGTAATAAATTGTACTTTCATTTGTCTGCCTATTAAACTTAGTAACTAATCAACATAATTCATAATATCACAGTGCGCAAAACAAATGTCATAAGGGATATATCAATTTCCATTCATCTCAACTTGGAGTTATGTTTCTGATAACTGAAATATGACGGCTTATTTTATGAATAGAACTATCTATGTTTGTTAGTTATACCTTGACATAATGAAGAATCTCTTTTGTTAAATGGTAGATTCTTCAAAAAGAGATGTGAGTAAATTGATTATCCATTGCGGGCACAATTGTTTGATGGTAGTTTATTTTAACTCGATGCTAATGGAAGGAACAGGTACATCTTCAAGAGAACACCAAACTTAAGAAGATACTAGTACCGTTTGATTCACTTTGCACAAGTTGTATTATGTGCTTAGAAAACCCCGATCCTCAAAAATTGACACCTTCCTTAAATTTTAAGTTGACAAAAATATTTCATCAAATGACTACTTTTTTACTTGTTTTAACCATTCAAATCATAAAACATAATTTCGGATACTCTTAGAATGTCTTCAACCTATCATTAGACTGGTTAACAACAAGACTACAAGGAAATATCAGCGTAGACGACAGTTGGTCCCTGAACGTACAATAGTACGTCACATAGCTATTACAAGAACACGTAGGTGGAATAGCAAATTTTCATTCTAAATGAATGAACCTCCACCATCAAACTCACGTACGCTTTTCTATCCAACCCACATGCAGCAACATACAAACTAGATGGTGATCTAAAAACTGCTGGTTGTTGAGCATTACTGCCTACCTTCAAGCTATTTAATTGGCATGGGTCTTTTAAGTTGAAAATATTGTACAAGTAGTAAATTTGTTAAAATATCACACTGAGAATTCCTAACTGTACTAAAAACCATGTAGATCCACCTGACTTTGGCTAACAGAGGAACTCAGAATGCGCGTTTCGTCCTATCAGGACTCATTAGCCGTATGTGCGTGCATCCCACTGAGTAATGTTGTTCCAACTAAAACTCATCGCTTCAAATGCCAAGGCTTTATCCATTAGGCCACCAAGGCACGATAGCCACCTCACTGAAGTGAAGGTACATTCAGCTGACCAGTCCTACTACGACGAAACGCGCATCCTGAATTCCTTTGCTAGAGACAACGAAGTAAACTACTATTATTATTATTGTAGGTCTATGGTAAGCATTAACAAACATGAGATCGAATCCAAAGAATCTCAGTCGATCGGTTCCAAACAAGAATAGATTCAATTATGTAAACTTCGATAACTTAAAGAAAATAATGATATTATTTATCTTCAGTATCTTCAGACCTAACTTTTTCTTATATATGCTGGGTGTAACTGAAGTGATCTGATCTATTCTAAAATTATACACAAAAACTGAACTTAAAAAGAAACTTTTCAATGAATTATTTACTTACCATCAGTTTTAAACGGGCGAATTTTACACTGAACCAATGAAATAGCAAATAAAGCAATCAAACGTGTGCGAGAAAATTGACTACGATTGGATGCCTTTCGACCAATCATATCATTTTTCGATCTACTTCTTCTACCATATGGAACACAATTGACTGTAGGTTGAATACAAGTTAATGATTTCAACTCGGTAGTATTTAGTTTTTGCTTTTCACTACAATTATTGATGAATAAATCTACAGGTGGTTGAAGAAATCCATCATATTTACAATGAATAGACAATACATTATCAATTGATTTTTGCCTTTGTTTTGACTTGTCGAAGACTGATCGCCGACAACAGACGTGTTTTGATGATGCATCCTTAGCAATGATTATCAAATCATTGAAAACAAATAAGTGTCTAAGAAGACTGGTTTCTTTCTTGGGAGGCTGGTTTTGTACAATCTTTAGGTAAATGGGAAAAAAATATTTGTAATGGAATAGAGTCACCGTCATGTCAGTAATTTGTAGAGTTTCATCGATCTTAAAGTAGTTTTCAACATAAATTGATATCAGTTGGAGGAATACTCTGACAGTATGCACTCACTACTGGTAAGGGTTCAATTCAAGCACAGTTAGGTTTCATGGCAAAGAAGTTACTATTCGGTCAGTGGGTCGAAAAGATGGTTGAAGCGAATTCCCAAAATCCTAATGAGACGTCATAATTCGAGAGTAAGGTGAATTTACCCTCCAATAACATTCGACGATGGTTGCACTAGTCGGCGAAATGACAGAACTAGAAACTAGTAGACATAGTGGCTCAATGGTAAAGCGGTTTGTAAGAAACTTGACAGTTCTAGGCCTGAATGAATGCGGGTTGGTGGGTGCACACTGTTCAGGAGTATGAAACTAGGTAGAAACAGGTGTTATGGTCTCCAATGGTTCTCTAACTATTGTCAGTTTTTAATGCTTCATAAATTTATTGAAATTCTATTTGTCACAACTTAATATAAACTAGGACAAGAAAGCCAAGAACAAATCCCAAGGCAAGACAGTGTCCTTTGTGGATAACTGATATGTATGAAAAGTGATTAATTTACTTAATGTTTCAGGATCTAGGTAGATCGAAAATTTTAAATTCCGATTGTTACTATTTCTGATACTGTTCACCCTTTTAAAATGCGCAACAAAAAAGTCTATACAAAATACAAGTGAGTCTTAATTGTTATTACGCTGTTTAAATTGTGCCTATAATTCCAAGTAGTTACTTAGTGAAGTGAAGTTTCTGTTAGTACTTCTCTTTTCAGATATTTGATAAACCAAACCTACAGTAACGACACCATTAAACAGTAAGCGATGTTTATAGTGTTCGGACTGCCGACCTCAATGTCTTTAGGCGGTATATTTTTAGTGAAGGTGTTACATGAACGCTGAACCTCACTGAGAATCTGCTCAGCTTGTAGCATTTCAATGCATCACCGAAAGGTAAATTGCATAGACGAAGTATGACGTGAATCTAAAATAAAAGGATATTAGTGAAGTGGAAACGACAGCTGTAGAATAATGAGATGTTTAATAATAGTAAGAGTATTTAGAAAAATATGTGAATGCATATGTTGTAGTGTGAAAACTGTTAAGCCATACCGTACAGACTGCCCAGATATTGATTATTCATATCTTATAGACGGCAGTCAGCAAGCTTATATGGTTCAGATAAGCATTGTGTGATGACATGAGATGATGTTTTTTTCCTCAAAATCTTTATTTGTTTAACAGTCAAGCGCTACTTGCAGGTTTGTGAGATGATTTCTAGAGTTACAATGAGATGTCATAACGGGTAGGGGTAAACCTAGTAGATGTGAGGACAAATACTCAACGATAACATTGGGTGACGATTGCACTATGTTGTGAAATGACAGAAATTGGAAATATGAACCAATGGATTCCAACCCAGTGGCTCAATCGTAACGTGATGGCTACAGGAACTGAAGGCCATGGGTTGGAGCCCTGATGGGGTGGGCTCATGGGTGCGCACTGTTGAGGAGTCACATACTAAAACGAAACAGGTTTCCAATGTTTCTCCAACTGGTGTCAGTCTATGATGCTTACCTTCTTTGCCTATTATTCTGCATATAAACTGAATACTGTTTATTCCATAATTTCATTGCATATGAGTTATGCTTTCAAAAGCTTACAGCTAATGAATTTCTTCTATTCTCGACAATAAAGTCTTACATCTGTGAAATAAAAGAGAGAACAATGTCTTCAAGTATATTCACCTATTCATAAGCAATAATTTATGTTTCTGATGCTCTTAAAAGCCCTAAGAAATTGTGAATATAAAACGAGTTTTTTAAATGTACTTCAATGTTTCCTCAGGAGAGAGGCGATATACTTTATACACCAAACCACTTAACTATTATTTCCTTAAACTATCTATTGATGAAATCCTAAGAAACTATTTTCACTTTCAAAAAAAAGAAGAAGAAAACATACTAGATAGACAATAAAATTTTAGAAGCGTAATTAACTTTAGTATTCTCCTCTTAAAAATTTATTATCAGTACTACTATATCTAGTGATAAATAAGAGGAAAAGTACAAAAGACTTAAATAGTCTTTTCTAACTGTAAATTCACAATTATGATCCATTTCATTTTAGACTATTTGCGTGAGCAAAACAAAAAAAGCATATAAATGGATGTAAATGAACCTTATAATTCATTGAAAGATTATAAATAATCATAAATGTCATTAGCGGTGGAAACTTATCATGAGAATAAATACGAACTGAAAGTTAGTAGTTTAGTAATATGCTATATTAATTTATAGTTTAGCTCATTCATGCCAAGGGAAACATCAAAGTAGAATAAATCGATATCTTATATAAGTGTAAAAGTGGGGGTGGTTTTTAAAAGCTAACAAATTAAGCCTTGATTGGATGGATTTCTTTCGTACACATATATTAGGTTTCTTCAATAATAAATTAGAATATCACTGATACAATAATTTTACCTAATATTGTAGGAATTTTCAGCTTATCGAATATCCAAAGAACTCATGTGTTAACTAAAACAACTGTTCCTCATAATATATTTATGAACACAATATAATAGTAACTTTTATGATCATAAACCTAGAGTTTCAATACAATCGATCCAGCTAGCCAATTAGAATCGATTCCCAGTGAGTTGTTATTAGCCTAAACTTTTTATTTGTTTGTAGTATTCAGCATTAATAGAGCTGTTTGGTAACCTGAAGCAAACTACTTTCTCTTCACAAGTTCAAAGATGCATCACTTACCGTCAAACTTAAGACAGTCATAACACTAATCATTTTATATTAAAACTGATCCATTCCATATTAGATTTATTTATTTGATTTATAACACACAGTGATCTAGTATTATTTACTTGATGACATTTCGAGCATAAATTATTGCTCATAATCAAATCAATGTGACATTGATAGCGTAATTTAATAGTTAAGTAATTTTACCAGTTTTTTTAACACTCATGACTAAGTTATGTATGCAATCTCGACGACTCAAAACCTCATTAAAGTACGACTAATATTTTACCCTTTAAATCATTACCATTAGAATCAAAACACTTAACGAGTTTACATGTTATTCCCCATAATACCTTTAGTAAAGTGAGAGATACACCTTCCTGAAAATATCAGGCTAATCAACAAATGCATTCATAGCTTGATGTGGATAGTGAATTCATACCTTGTTAGATATTTGTAATTTCCCGTTGTGATACAGAAAGGGACTGTTCGACCTCTGTTGGTAGATAGGGTCCTATGCAGATGCCACGAAACCACAGAGGTCAAGCAATTCTATGCTTTATAGGAACGGAAAATTACAAGCATAAAAAGGCAACTGATACTCGTTTCATACTCGTCTCGATGGTTAAGTGAATAACACTTTGGTGATTGTGGCGGTAAGCCTTAAGTTCGAGTCTCAGTGGGGTGGAGATATATTTAGCTGCCGAGTCCCAAATAGGACGAAAAGTGCGTGTTGAATCCAACTGCTAGTCACCAAGATGTATGAAACATCATGGATTCATACCTATTCAACTTTAAGACTCAATCCTTTATCAGTAAACGAAGTACATCGAAGTTGATCAAAGCCTACTTATCATGCATAATACATTTCGATCCCTGGCGGGGTCTTGGATGCGCACTGCTGAGAAGTTCCATACTAGGATGAAACAGCTGTCCAGTGCTCCCAGGTTTCCTTTGTTCCTCCAAATGATGTCAGTTTACAATGAATAACAACTTGATTTTTAAAAAATGGTTAAATATCTGACATACATGTATAACAGTGCAATAACAAACCAATCTACGGTGTGATTCCACCAACTCGAATACATTTGAAGTTGATTCACCACCAAAAACTTTCAGCTCATTAAGATTTCCCATTGCTTTGGATATATGTCGAACAATTTCTGTTTGGTCAGGGCCTGGTACAAGTGGTCTTGCTTTAATACGATGATATATTTCAGTCAGAGCACGATTAGAAAATATTCTCCTTGCTTCCACTGTATTATTACAATAACCATTAACTGATGACTCTTGTCTATCACTATCATTTGGTATAGTTGAAGATGACGGCCATGATGATGTTGGTTGATTAAATAAAAGATCTGAAGAAAATACAAACACATGAAATGTAAGAAGAATAAACATTCTTCAAAGATAAACCAGACTAACAGAATGATAATGATACATTTTCAGCTTAGACTAATGTTACATAAAAGGAAATTCCAATATAAAAATAAATCACAAATACTAAGAGATAGAATTATAACCCTGCATGAAAGTTTAACGATTAAATTTGCCGACACATACACTGAAATGTTGGAAACTCTTTATGAGAAAATAAAGTGAGACGCTTGATTGCATGAAGTGTGTGTACATGTTATTTGTGGAAGCACAAACCTGTAGAAACGGCTGGAACTGATGGGTGGCTTAGTAATCTAAATCAAAATGTCATAATCATCATTCATACACATTATGATTACTATCATTATTATTATTTGTTCCTTAGGTTCCTAGTCAAACATGGGGCTTCAGCAGAACATCGACATTTCGTTCTCTCTGCAGTCTTTTCAACCACGCTACACCACTGCCCACAAGCTTTGATTTCTTCTTCACATCATCTCCTCCATATCACCCTCGGATGCCAAACTTGTCATCTTGAACTCGACGGCCTGGCCTCGCCTGACGCATGATGTCCTCAAATTGTCTTCTCAGTGTGTGTTCGATCCATCTCCACTTTCTTCTGCACATTTCTTGCGCGATGAGATATTGGCCGGTTCGTTGCCAGCAAGCCAGAGTTCCTTGTTGCTTATCCTCTCTGGTCATCTGATATTCAGTATCGAGTGAGCGTAGGCGGCAGCTGTCGATGTGATATATGTCTGCGGTTTGTTGGAAATGCTTATGGTAACGCGCCAAGTCTCTCAACCATCACATTGAAGCACTGACTTACTTGACTGAGTTAGTGTTGAAAATTCGGAACCCGTTTATGCTTTATCCTGAGTGCAGTGCAGTAGATCTCCAAAATGATTATTTCAGATTAATGAAGGCCCCTCTCGCTGTCTTTCCGATCCCGGCCTTGACATCCTCATCTGCACCACCGCCGCCGCTTGTAGTTGAAACGCTGCTGCCTTGCCTAGGTAAGTTAAAGAGACTATTTCCTTTAGGTTTCTCCTGTTAATGGTGATTGGTGCTTGTTGTTGTTTTTGGCTGGGGATCTTCACCACCACTGTCTTCTCTGCATTTACTTGAAGTCCCATCTTCGTTTCACTGCATCTTCTGACAACTTGTTGGTTTACACCCGTAGATCTTCGAGTTTGCGCAACATTAGACATAAATCATCGGCTAAATCCTAATCTCCTAGGGTCTTTTCATCGGTCCAGCCACTGTACGCCCATCTGTTTGCTCCTCACAGTTTGTTGCATGCTCTAGTCTTTCACAATCAGGAAGATCATCGGTGATGGTAGGCAGCCTTGTCTATTCACACATAATAATCAGTATATTTCCAGAGTAAATTTAATCTTTCTAATTTATATACGAAAAGTCAAGAGAATAGTTTATACGTAATAGTAGTAGAAACTGAATTATCTTTGTTGTACTCACTCTAAAACTGCTTCTCACAATCTATGAGCACTACGTAAAAATTCTCTATAAACTAGTTACTTTAACGTAAAAACTTATTTCTAAGTGATTGGTGGTAAAAGTTGGCAAAAAAGGCTGACAAATAGAAATAGTGACGGTGGAAAATGGTGGTAGCCAGGAAGAACCTTGATGTGACCATTACTATTTTTATTATTTGTTTTTTACGTCTATATTTTACTATGGGAAATACAGTACAGCAGTATGTAAAAGAGATACTAAAAATTTTTAATTATCAAACGTCTAGTGAGTACACTACACTAGATTGGTATAACTGATACAGGTTTAAGTATCAATGTATTTTCATTTTGACTATCTGAGATAACACTGGTTTAGCAGACTAGTATTGATACTGGGTAATGATTGAAAGTTAAATGAAAATTTGCACTGCGCATGGATTCAAACAGCAACCACCACCAACTGAGCTATGAGGTCCAACTACTGACTAGATTTTTATTTCACTTCAGTCATGAAGAGTTTTTCCTGACTACCATGTGAATTTGTGATGCGTTACTACCACTTGATCGTATTCACACTGTATATCTAGTCAGAACTTCTCATTCCAAACTAAATCTAAATGAATGATGCTCCCCTATCCAATACAATGGAATTCATAAGAAAGTTTTTCTTGACCATAAGATGTACAAACTCATGGAATAATGGGTTCCAGTAGGTATGCCGACAAGTATACCAAAAATGTTCCCAAGAGAATATGCTATACAGTTAGAGTATTTGCCATATAAACTACTGACTCCATATACCGAGTTCATGATAAAAGTAATAATCAAACTGTATATTTTACTGTATTGAGGACTATACAGAGAAACACCGGAATTCACCAGTTATTAACAGTATTTCATCATATTCTGATCAATATAAGGCTTTTCAGGTTCTTACTTATAATAGACTTCACACTGATTACAATGTGGTAATATCAAATGCTTTAATCGCATGCTTCAGTGAAGCTTCACAACCTAATCTAGCTTGCTTGTTTGTCCACTTCAACAAAATCTGTAACTGAAACCAATGTTTAAATACATCCCAGCAATACATTAGCGACATCTGAAACCAAAGATACGCATGTGGGCACTGCTGTGCTTTACACTTTAAATTTCTTAATATGTGATTAGCAAATAAAAAACCGATTAACAGATACGTGCGTCACTGCTGAGTAATCAAACAACAGAAAATGACTCCAGGACAAAAGTAGTTGACCAATTAGACTCGTAGTGTAATTTCCCAAATCAATGTGAACTGACTAGTACAAAAGAATAAGTATGTATTTGAAATTCAAATCACAATCGACTCAGTAAACTTGTGCACATATCCGTAGTGGGCAATGATGACTAGTGGTGCCTACCTAACTACCGAAACCTCAGTGAATGGAGCCGAAGTGGAACCCACGAGGCATCAGATGGAAGGTAAGTGCCTACACTAATGAAACGCATGCTTGATCACAATATATTCTAAGAACTCTATTTCAATAGCTAAATTATCGAAGAAAAAATTGGTCTAGTCATGCCTTTACTATACCTAATTGTTTATTATCATCAATCAGTTCGATATCACTATTTTCTTCATAAGATTACGTCTAGATATACTTTCCTCATTTTCTTTTTCTTTTCTGGTAAAGCATATGATATACAATGTATCAAAAAGTTGTCAGTTGTGTCAACGAAAAAATATTTCAGTAGAATAAAAAGTTTCAATTTATCATAAAATTATACGAGGGAAGGAAAGTAGAAACGACGTTTCTACTCTGTTCACTTCTCTTTTATGCTTAGACACATTCAATTTATTCTGAAAAATTCAAAAGTAAAAATATGTCCACCAATTTATCAAAGAGAAAACTGGGTAGATTTCTGTAAAGCAATCAAAATAAACGGTTGTTTAGTTGATATTCCTTCCCTTTTTTTTCCCTACTACTTTCTAATCTAAACCTTATTTTCTGGTTTTACAGGTGTAAGAAACTGGAAAAGTTATTCTCATTTCAAACAGATATTTATTTCACCCATAGAAAATGCTAATATGAATGAAAAATTACCTAAAACTATCCTAAGTATTAAAAATGTATAGAATAATATTTCAGTAAAAATTTACTCTTTTTTCTCATATACTACTATAATGATAATTAAGTGCATGCTTTATTCTGTTAAAAAATTTTGTAGGTCGTTTCTAATTATGCAATCTGTAGGCTGTTGCAGTTTTCTTCATGACAACTTTTTATTCCACGAACGTCAGCCATTAAAATAATGTGAATTCCGTAAGCCATTATCACGAAGCTTGTATTCACAGTTTGGTATGCAACAGTGAAATAATTGCTTTTGTCCGATAACTATTCACAGGTAACTGATATTTCATAAGCAGATAGGAGTGGAGCTGCGGCTCACTGGTTTAGTAAGTTGACTTCTGGAAAATAGGCAACGGGTTCCGAACAGCGCACCACTTAATGAATTTTGGGTAGCCGGGCAGTAAGTATCACTAGCCTTCGCATACTAGGTGTAGCTCATCGCCTACTGCACACGTGGGCATAAGGTTGCTGAGTGCATTTCGATTCAACTCGGAGAGGATGATTTGTTCATGAAGATACATTATTATCCAGAAGACTAAACTATTTCGAGTTGGTATTCATCACGCGCCGACATAAGTTGTGGGATATTGGAAACCTGGGGGCATTGGACAGCTATTTCATATTAGTGTACGACTCTTCACCAGTACGCACCCAACAACCCGCTAGGGGTCGAACTCAAAACCTCTGGGTTCCGTGGCCAACATGTTACGATTGGGCCCCTGGGTTGGAAACCAGTGGTCCCTATTTCCAATTTCTATCAGTTCGTAACATAGCGCGACCTTCACCCAATGTTATCAATGAGTATTTGTCCTCACGTCCACCAGGTTCGCCCCACAGGTCACGACTTCTCATCGTAACTTCAGGAATCACTTCTGGAAGCTAGTCACCAATCTGGTAGAAAAACACTGTTAGATACCCTTCATAAGAATGCCCACGTCTTCCTAAGTTACCAACTCCCACTAAAGTCACTGAGTAACCAAGTTAGGCAAGATGAATGTTCGAGTAGGTGATAGGTCAAAATATCATCTGCCACAGTACACAATGCACCTACTATTCCCTTGTAAAAGATAAAGTTAATCTCTTTTAGGAACTGAAGAAAGACAGACAAAAACCTAAGCTATTTCTCCGAGTGAAGTTTAGTCATTTCTGACTCCACAGTTGGTTAGTGGTATAGTCATATCAAAATATAAAAACACTTGACCAAATATTGAGTACAGGTGAAAGGATAGATTATTAGATGGTACTAAACCGGAGTAGAAAAATTTGCAACAGCCCACTGACTTTCCACAGTTCTTTGCTTTCAATCTGGGTTGGAAACATTCACAGAAGTGAACCTAATAAAGATTTTTCTTAATTATGAGCTAAGAAGGATTGAATTAAAGTGTTGCAAACTAGAATTTTATTGTTGTTGCTTGTATTATATTGTTGTTGATTGGACCGAAATGATCAATCTCTATGTGCATATGGTCTACTGCGTGGATGCCTCAATATTGCCTGTGTTTTCATTTATGTAGTAATGATGGGTAGCGGCTAGCAGTGGAGTCCAGGATACGCATTTCGTCGTATTCTGGACTCGTCAGATGGATCTACCTGCACCCTAGTGAGTGATTTTGTTTCCACTAAGACTCAGGCTTGAGACCGATCGTTTCAAACGCCAGAGCTTTATTCACTACACCAACGAGCCATCATTATTATATAAATAAAAAACAGGCAATATAGAGGCATCTGTGCAGGAGCTCATATGCCAATAGAGACGGATCAATTCTGTCCAATCAATAACGCGATAATGCAAGCAACAACAATGAAACTATACCCGTCGCACAAGAAGAAACTAACATGGTCCATTGGTCTGGTGAATAATGCTCTAGCGTTTGAAGCGATCGCTTCCGAGTCCGAATCCCGGTGGAAACAACATCACTCACTAGGAGGCAGGTACATCCATCTGACGAGTCCCAAATAGGATGAAATGAGATCCTGAATTCCACTGCTAGCACCTATCCATCATTAATATAGAATTTTAAAATCTACTGCTGTTTGGTGTACATATTAATCATACCGCAAGTAAAAAATTAGTATTGACTTGTAAGAAGTATTTCGAAAATAACAAAACTTCATCTTAAGAATTTAGGACCAAGCAAACTGAAAAATTCAACTGATTAACTTCGTCAGGTATTCAGTTTGCTTTTCAGATAGATGATACGGAAAGATAAACCAATTACGCAGTAAATTAACAGCTTCAGTAGTCAGCCCTACCTATTACCTCGATAAAATTTAACTTTCTTTAGAATTGTAAAGAATACTGTCTATTTGAAGATGTACGTATGCTTACCACCAATTTATTGGCTTTCTTACTATCTCTCTTATAAGTTAACTGGATTACCGTTGCTTTCCAATATAAACTTAGGCAACCAAATAATCATATTGTATTCTTTAACTGACCGATTGACTAACTTTCGAGATTAAAAAACCAAGATTATATTCACAAGTTGTTATACTGACCTGTATACCCTTTGAATTTGCAATTTGTACCAATTAAAATTATGAAATAAAAGCTTTAGAAAAAAATTAATAAATATTATGTACAGTTGGATGGAAAACTATTTTTGTTTTGTTAAAAGTCAACCGAATCTCAAACTTACCATGTACATTTTTTATAAACTGATTAACATTCTGTTTGCCTAAACTTGATTTTGCAGCATTGACATTATGAAGACTAGTTTGTAGTAGAAGAACAGCATAAAATATTAGCGTTAATTGATCTACAGTGATTGGAGCTGGTAGAATTTTTACAGGATGACTGTTTAAATTCGGACAAATTTTTGATGGGGTGAATGAAGTGGACGCCCAACGGACTGTATGATAATATTCAGAAATACACTGTAGTAAACGATCAATTTCTTGTGATTCCACCTATTGAAATGATAAAATCACTTGTGTCTGTATTGATATACAAAGGACAAAAGTTATTACGTCTTGGAGATTTTGTAAAGCACGTTACAATTTGTCAAAACACAAATATTTCTATACATAACTGATTACATCTACAACACTAACTAACAAAAGCAAAAGATATTTAATCACTATCCATACTGAGTGATGATTGGTGGTGAAATGAAAATTTGTACAGTGGCCAAATTCGAACCAGCAACCACTGGGTTTCCGACGCAATGCTCTACAACCTAAGCTACGAGGTGCGACTGCTGGACAGATTTTTATTTCGCTGCAAGCGGTAGTAACACATCACGAATTCATATGGTAGTCAGGTAAAACCCATGGTGATTGAAGTGGAATATAAATCTAGTCAGTAGTGAAATATCGTAGCTCAGGTAGTAGAGCATCGGTCCGGAAACCCAGTGGTCACTGGTTCGAATCTGTCCGTCTGTCTATCCATTTCATTTTCAACCATAACCCAGGATAAACACTAGTCTGCCAAACCATGGCGATTCCAGATGATCCAAATGATAATTTAATCATTACACTAAAACTCGGAGGTTAAATCCTTCCAGAACATTTGTAACACAGATTTCAGTGTGTCACATCCTTTAAGCAACAATTTCATAATAAGAGATTTACAACAATGTTTCTGCATATATCTGAGTAGTTGAAATATTTTTGCACTGTTGGTGTTAGATAGCAGAGGAATCTAGGACATACGTTTCTTCCTAGTTAGAACTCTTCAGTTAGTTATATGTGGACTGTAGAGAGATATGACAAAGACCCGAACCTAATGACTATCACTTAAGGTACAAGAGCGTTATCCAGTAAACTGCTGATTAACAAAAGTTTCATCTTTTGCAGTGAGTATCAACTGTTGCTCACTGATACTTTTCCCACTGTTTATTTCATTGTACCTAATTAATTGGTTTTATTGACATATAAGTAAGGTCTTTGAATGTGTCATAAGATTGCTTTGAACCTCATTTTGTTGGTCATTGCTCATAAGAAAATTGAAGTTTTTTTCCACGCTGAATACTTATTAATAAGTGAAACTGCTCGAGTGCACGCTTATGATTAAGAAGATAATAGACAAACGTTCGAGAACAGTGAAATATCAGCAAGTAATCAAAAATAAAAGTGATGAGACTTTTTCTAGTAGTCAATCAGAAATAATGTGAACCGAGAAATGAATATGTTTCAACGGGATTAAACAGCTAAATAGAGTATGAACATTTTGCCTCAAGATGGAAAAGTTACACTCTGATAAGACGACACAGTGAAAAGGTAAAGTCTTATGGAACATATAATCAAAATGATTAGCTTGATTTGAGGTACTGAAAGCTATTGTGACGAATGCTTGCGTAAATAGAACTTTGAAGTTAGATTACATATTGCTTAGACTTCTGTAATGAACTAAGCCTAATCATAAGCAAGGTTAGGAAGATTTCATTGAAACTTGTAGAAGGCAAAAGAATTAATCTTTCCTGATTCCCCGCTAAGAGCTGCTGACAAATGGAATGGGTTGTAACTCTCAATGAATGATCTATGTAGCCAAGCCTTATGAATGACATAATAACGTGTTCTTAACACTGAGGTGCGCCAAAGAATGAGTAGCATAGATTATTCATTGAAAATCAGCGTGAAATGTCTTCTGAATCAATTCTGTTGTCCAAATCTTACGAAACCTATTCATATAACCACCTTTTCATTCCAAAGTAAAGCCTAATTTTCTCTATCATGATAGTAGTATCTGAATAACTTATGAATTGTGTACTGTTACTCGAACAGAATCTGGTGGACGACGGTAATAATATAGTTCTGTTCTAAGAATGTGGGTTTTCCTCCTATATTGCCGTCTGTAAATATTCCATCGAAGCATTGAGACAAAAAAGAATGAAATACTGAGTATACAAACAAAGCTAATCAAATTTAGTTAACCAAAGTTCACACTTCTAAAACCAAGTGACTAGTAAATTCGCTAACCTCGCCTGGTTAATTAGTTCACCAGTTACTACCCAGTCCTAAGCCAGGATAAACAGGAAAGATTGCTCATACGCCTAGCAACCCTACCACGGAAAACCAATCCAATCCCTAAAAAAACTTTACAGAACAAACAAAATATAAAAACAAACTTATTCCTCACTGCAATCGGAGACACCAAATGACACCCGTTGCTCAAAGCCTGCATTCCGAAAGACAATTCGACTACCTGTCTTCTCTTCTTCCCATCAAAGCAAAAGCAAACATCACGACATCCAATGTCCACACCATGCATGAAACTAGCAACGCTACACAGATTGCCAAAGAAATGACAAAGTATGGCATGCAAGTGCTAGAAATCCGCGAAAACACATGGAATCAAAATGGACTCTCCAAACTGTCAACTGCAGAGTCAATAACCTACTCCAATATTGTCATCCAGACGACAACCACAAGCACACTAACACAGTGGCTATCACGATGTCACCAACAGCATCAAAGACTCTCACACAATGGGAAACAATCTCCTCCTCCAGAATCACGATCATGACAGCAAGACGGATTCAACTCAAAACAAAGGAAAGTCACAATCATACAATGCTACCCTATGACATGCACCTACAAATAATGCACATGAAGAGAAGAAGCAGGAATTCTACACACAACTCTAATCACCAGTGGACAACACCCCACCCCAGTTGGCCACATCACAATCCATTCCGATCTGTGGGGTGACATCAATGCCAAACTGGGAGGGGACAACACAGGAAGAGAAGAGAACCAATCATGGGTCAAGAGGCACTCAGTTAAATGATGAGTGAGAATGGAGAGTTGTTTGCAGATTTCTGTGCATTCACCGACTTTGTGATTGGAAGTAGTGTGTACAAACACAAGGATATTCACAAAGCGACATGGACTTGATTCTACCGGATACACACACTAAAAATCAGATCGAATTCATCTCAATGTGAAGAAAGTGGAGACGCAGCCAGGCTACTGGATGCAAGATCAGATCAAGAAGGAGAGCAAATGTAAGTTCACACCACTCACACTACTACCTAGTGCAGGGAACCTACCTTCAAAATCAAATTGAAAGCCTTCAAAGAAGTTGGTGATAGACTACAGTTCAAGTTGAACATCCAGAAACTGAAGGACGAAACTATAAAGGACATCTTCACATCAGCCATCAGAACTCAGCACAAAGAACAAGATCCGGATTCTCAACACCGTTGTCAAGTCAGTGCTGCTATATGGTTCAGAAACTTGGCGCCTCATGAAAAAGCATTTACAACAAACTGCAGACATTCATCAACAGCTGCCTACGTGCGATACTGAAGATCAAATGGCCAGAATAATAAGAATAAGCAACAAAAAACTTTCGCTGGCTGGCTGGCTGGCAATGGAGCAACCAAGAATCCATCGCCAAACAAACATGCAGAAGAATGTCAAGATGGATTGTATTGGCCATACAGTGAGAAGACCGTTTGGGGACATCACGCGTCAGGGCAGCCCAGGCCATCGAGTAGAACCCAAAAGAGTGCAGAGAACAGAGTGCAATAGAGGTGTACTACTGAATCCCTATGTTCCACTGGAAACCCAAGGGACAAATAATAATAATGATAATAAATTTTCTAAGGTAAGCTATGGAGATGAGTTGCTAAAAACGAGAAGATATTTAAGAAGCATCAGTCATGAACTAGCCTGTAATTGTAGCGTTTCCTTAACCTTCGTTATGTTAACTTAATGGAAATCAGAAATTAGATAGGTAATAAAGTCAATAACCAATATAACTATTCAAACCATAATTATTGTCATAATTTGTGTAAAATATATAGGTCAGTAAAAATGACAATTATACAACTAACATGAACAGTTTGACAAATATGAATACGTTTGAGGTCATCAACAATGTGTAATACAAACTGTCATGAGCAAAATATATGAAAAAATAACATAACACCATGTAAAACATTTTTGATATTACAGGTAAAGTTTTTGAAAGGGTTATATACAATCAATGACTGAGGATATTCTAGAAACAGTTTCCAGTTGTACAAAACAACAGAATCTTTTCAAATAATACACCCCGTATAGATACACTTTTCCAAATCTCGAATAGTTGAATAATAAATACTATTTGAAAACAATAAGATACTACTTTTAACTGTAGACAATGAGCAACACGGTTATTATTGATATTAGTATAAATAATGTAAATGGATAATGAATGAATTTCAGTTCAGTCAACCAGTCCTCCTTAACCATCATATGAACAAATGGCAAGTAACTGTTTATTCAGTTACTTTCACTAAGTACATAAACATTTTATTTTGATTCCTTTTTTGTATTTGAAGCAGAATTCACAATATACGTATGAAGAAATGCCTTAGCAATATTAAGGAGAGCTAAAAGTGATATGAAGAGAAAAAAGACGAACAGAAGTACAGATGAAAATGGATAATTAAAAAAAACCAGTCTCAGAAACTTATTCAGTAAAGTAATGATTACTTTAGTTTCACTGTCAGTTAACAGCAGGAATGAGAAAGCTGGGATCTGATTGCCACTGATCCCGATTCAAAGGTGTATTTGGTATAATCTAAATTCATTGAGTGATGAAATCTCAGATGGAACAGTCTGGTTGTTGACGAAATTTTAGTTCGGATACCCAAGGTTTATTTATCATTCGCCAGTTTGCGCCACCCATGGTGCTGACTGATGAGATATCCGACTATCTTTCAAAGGAGGAGCATACTGCGTTGCAGTTCGTTCTCTTCTTTTATACTGCTGTGAGAATTCGCCATTGAAAATAGAAGACATGAAACGGTTACAGGGTTTCGACCACAGGTGTCTTTTCAGCATTGGTCACATGTGATGGAATCAAGGTGCGAGCAGCGATGAGGTCAGGTAAAGTGTACCAGGCAAGAGGGTCAAGGGTGGCACGAATCAGTCAAGTTCCTGATTGAATGTCTAAGGGGTATGAAAAGATACAGACT